GCAACAATAACAACAACAACAACTTTATTTTTTTCACCCCAAAATATACAGGAAAGAAAAATTTATAATAACAGTACAGATAATGTTAGGGGCGCTGGAAAAAAGCATTGCGCCTCGTGACATTTTCACAATTTGATGTGCACTCAAGTCCCCTGTTCAAAACCTTAAATATTATAAAACAACATGATCTTGTATCATATCAGATTGCAATATTGATGTATAGGTTTAAGCATAGTTAGTAGAGGGGACTGGTTATGAAACCCGGTAAACATCAAGGCCGATGTCTTTGTTATGGTTTCCCTTAGTCACGTGATCTTGACCGTGCACATGGAAAATCAACATGGAGATTGGAGTGACGTGAATGTGCAGAGACTTACGCTGTATTTCGCCAGATTTTTAGCTTATATTAATCTCGATTCGATGAGTGTTATAGCTACACTACTCATTAGTCGTCATGCCTGGAGATAACTGCGCTGTGTTTGGCTGTGGGAGTTGTAGAAGAACGAAAGGGATCGGTATTTGGAAGCTGCCTGCAGCGAAGGACGAGGCACACAAGAAGTGGCGGAACTATGCTGTTTTGGAAAAAGTCAATGAAATTGCAACACATGCCCTTGCCTTTCTGGTTCGTGGAGTTTGTACTGACCTCAAGTTCTGCCTTGCACATTTTGCCACCACTGGTGTTACTTCTGCGCAACTAATGCCCTTGTTTTGGGAAGCGGTTTGTATTTTAGAAACTAGTTGCAATCTGTGGNAAGAAAGTCCACTGAAGAATTGGGTTGACTTTACAGCAACTGTTGCATAATATTTGCCATAAAACTTTTCTGCATCTCCATTTCTTGTATATCCTTCATAGATTGCTTTTATAGCAGAGAATTCTTTGCTGTCTTCTTGTAGCTGTTGGTATGAGTAATTGCTGAGCTCCATCCTTAAATTTTCTGCAAAAACTTTCCTTTCCTTAACATTGCGGACAGCAAGGTCAATTATTTCTACAAGAACATTCGGGCTCAACTGTTGCACCTGCTCCCATCCTTCCTGTTGATTGTTGTGTTTTGCAGCCCCATGTCTGTCATAGTCTCCTCTTGTTTTGTATTTCTTTCCGCAGTCATGACAAACAATTTCTTGACGCTGAGCCTACAAAGATATTACAAACATCACCATTGTAAAATAAATAAACTACTTAACAGTTTAAAAATAAAAGTTCGGTGGCCACTTTTTTCGATCAAGAGAGTATCGTGAAGTCGCGAAGCTCTATCGATTACAAGGTTTACCACTTAAAATAATTTCGACAAATCATTACATTCCGGAGATTTGAGCTCTTTAGAAGCTTTTTATAAGTCTTCCTTGTTTCGCAGGAGCCCTAAAGAAGATTGCCTTTGAAGAAACAGCAATTTATAAGCATGGTTTATACGCGAGCGTTTGTTGAATTTCGTCTGTACACGCGTCGAGTAGCTCATCTGTGGCAAATTTAAGCTCAGTAGTGCAAAATTACAACTCGAAATCGCAACGTTTTCAACTTACATTTCTAACTGCGACGGAAAATTGTTCCTCTACTTCGTCCTCGTCTTCCAAAATACCCAAGATCGCCTCAAAATCTTCTCACCACACAAACAAATAGTCTACACCGTCCGCCATCTTGAATGAACTTGTGCACGGTCAGAGTCACGTGACGGGTCTGTTCAACATCGCTGACCGCGCTATTGTTTAACCCTTTGGTCTTTATCGGGTTTCATAACCAGTGCCCTCTACTAACTATGGTTTAAGAATAGATTACCTCTTGTGTTCAATAATTTCTTTACTGAGGTCAGTGAAGTTCATCATTATAATAAAAGATCTGCTGCAAAACGGTCTTATTACCTCCCTAAAGTAAGAACTATCGTAAATTTAATATAAGATTTCGGGCGCCCGTGATATGGAATGCAATAAATGAACAAGTCAAAACTGGCTCTCTTTCAAAATTTAAATTAAGTTTAAAGGAACAATATCTTTCAGTATATTGATGACATTAAATTAAAATATTGCTTTCTACACATAGCTATTTTAATTATTGTATATCCTCCATAGATTACTTTACACATAGCTTAATGTCTTTATTGCCTTAATTATCATTATCATCTTTGTATGTTGATGTTGTGAGTGTGTACGTGTTATGTGTGTGTGTGTGTGTGTGTGTGTGTGTGTGTGTGTGTGTGATAGTTTACGTCTTACCTCCGCTTTAAATATTTAATTTATACTATTTAAACCAGCTCTCTGCTGTTTTTAGCTACTTAGTTATTTCAGGGAGCTGGTAACCCTTAAACAAGTTTATCAAATCAGTTTTTTACAAATGACTGTAATTCCTAAATTATGGAGTAATAAAGTTGTTGTTGTTGTTAAGCAAAGGCAGAGGACTTCCTATGCGGGTACTAATTCAAGAATCGCCGTTGAAAATTCAAGTTTACTAATAGATAAATAATTTGATGCGAGTTTGATAGCAGTTTAATGGTTTGATTCAAATATAATAATAGCATCCATTATACTTCTTTACATTGACATCTTTGAGTTCAAAAGGAAACCGGTGTAAGAAACCATATAGCTGGATTTTAACCTTTTTTCTCAACTCTCATTTAAATGAACAAATAAATTCCTTGCTGTTCTTACACAAACATAATTTGTCTTGCACCTTTAATAAAAAGAACTTGATGAGTAAATCAGCCCGAGCCCCTCTCGCTAGTAATCTGTTTCGCTTTGCACCCCGTTATAAGTCTCGTATATAGGTTTTGGAGGAACTGTTTTGGAACTGCTTTAGGGTTCGCGGGTCAAGAGCTAGTCCATGCTCTGAAGTTTTGTAACATTTTAGTGGTTTAAACTCAAAATTATCAACACTGCGACCTCGAATGAAAAAGCGGCAAATAAAAAACAGCTCTACGGAACCGGCAACCTCGGAAACGGGCAACTAGACATCGAGCCGGACATCTGATGCCCGATATATTCTGTACGATTTCGTTCTTTGAGCGTGTGACGCCGTCACAGCCGTCACAGCCGTCACAACAGAGGGTAGACTGGGCTTGACTCACTCGTCAGACTGTTAAGGATACTCAAACGATTGACTGAACTTGACTCATTCATCAGACTGACTTTTAAGGATACTCAAAGGATTCATTTAGCCTAAGTCGAATTTGTTTACGAAGTACTTTGATTTCTTTGTTGCGAATTTTTTTAGTTACGGATGTGGTTACGTTGTGCGCGTATAAAAGCCTCGTTTAGCGTCGCTTTAGCTATTGTATGATTGTATTTCACCTGGATTAGGCTGGGTTGCACGAAAAATATATCTGGCATGGTATAAATCCACGGATGGGATGGCATTTGTCCGGAGAAGAAAGGAGTGCTGTTGAAGTTTCGGATGTGTGTTTTGTGGACAAGTCTCTTTTAAAATGGCAAATTTCCTTTGCGTAAGTTCTTGTTGAATGTTTCCGGAAATTTTGTTATAATTCCTTTTTGCACATAGAGCCGTTTAATACTGTTGAATTGCCAGTCAATAGTCGTTTAAATTTTCGCGAGCATTAGCGTGACCCCGCGTGAAACTGAATTAAATCTCGAAATGTACACCTCTGTTCGTTACCATCTAAATGTACAGCCGGTTAACCATTTGTTCGTTACCTTGTTTTTGTGAACGTAAGTCTTTCTCTATAATCTGTTATTTATTATTGTTTTTGTTGATAATTATTGGACACAACTCCTTTTAGTTGACTTTGTTTTTTAATTTGGAAGTTGTC